AAATTTGGCCACTTCTGCAGTCGTTAATCTGGGATTCATTTCAATGTTCCTCTTGACAGCCTTTTTTGTCCTCTCCGATGGACCAGGACGACCCGGACGCTGCTCAGTTGTTTCCTTGCCGTGTTTCCTGAACTGCACGATGATTATGTTGACTGTCGAAAGCGGGATTCCCAAATTCTGCGAAATTTGCCGCTGACTTATTCCACCACCTGCTTGACCAACTATCCTTCATCTAACAAAATCTGACAATTCGAGAGAACCTTGAGTTCTAGGCATGTTGTAGCACAAGATAATTAGTGTGCGGACAATTTTCATTTATATAGTGCTCTGTGAACACAAATTAGTTAGCATAAATTAGTTAAATGACGAAAAATTAGGTGTCTATTTACTTGTGACCACTCAGTGTATATATATAATATGCCCTGCCATCTAGTCGTTTCAGAACAACAAATATTAATCGTTTCGTAAAAATTTCATTGGCTATGCTGATAGGATCGAATGCTATGACTTAAATATTTACATGGATTCCCCGGTGGGTCAGCGTATGTTTACAGACTTTATAGCGCTAAAATCTGAGGTTCGTTTCCTAACGGTGAAGATAGTGCATGTAACCTATTGAGTAGCTTTGCGCTAAACAACAACAACGACGTTCAGAGTTGTCTTTATATGAAACTAGCTGGAGTACCCGTCCGTTGGACGGGTGAAATAAAAACTCGTTTGTAACAAAGGAGAAGATATTGTGCTTTTATTTTTTTTCTTAACATAATCAATATTAAAAGTGCAATAAAAATAGATAAAGGCAACGATACTGAAAATAAAAACATACTGTTTTCAAGAATCCTATCATAATGAAATTATCACCGTGTCAGTTTTGGTGCTGATTGATCAAGAAATGTGGAAACGTATAAGGAACAGATAAACACACATATTGACGTATAATTATATAGATAGTGGCTGCTCTCATTGTAAAGAAAGCGATTGACTTTCAGGTAAAAACGTAACTACTGTCAGTTTAACTGCTCATATAAAACTAATATACAGCGTACTAATAGTGGTTGATAAGACTAAAAGCATACTGCTACAAGTCAATGTCTAGTTGAACTATAAATAGTTACCATACACTGTTATTATATAGTACATTGCCAAGCAACTGGAATAAACTATTAAGGTATCAGTTGTGCTGGTTAATATTATATCTTTAGAAAAAAAAAGAAATTGAAGTATTAATGCTTCAACTTACCTTAGAAGTGGCGTTCTGCTTGTTGAAGCGAAATTCGTATGGTGGTTAGCCATACTAGTGTTCATTGCAGTCTGTAGAACTAAATTTTATAAGGGCTTTCAAATTAATACCATTTCTGTGATGGCAGATATACTACACCTTGCACGAGGCCTGTTTTCATTATGCACATGTGCACATCTACATTTTTATTTCGTATGATCACAGCTGGTTGTAACAACTACAAAAGCTAGGGCCAACTGATAAGAACAAAAGCTGTATCAAAATAAACTTTGAACTCTTCAGTATCTCTCTTACCTGTACTTCCACGATCAACAAGTGGGGATATCGTTCATTGGATGATTTTGAGTAAGTTGAAAAAATATACATATTGTGTTCAGTTCAAAGAACGTTATTTTAGGTTAACAACTTTTTGTTTTGGTTTATGAACAGCTCACTTTATTCAGTTCAGTGATTTCCCAACTAACTCGGAAAAATGTTCTATTTAGATTTCCTTTATCACACTTTAAAGCATTACGATATAGCAAAGTATTAATTTATAATCAGAGATAATCATGATTAACTTTTTCAACTACCCTACGTTATGAAATTAGACTTAACAAATTAGTTAATTTTCAAGGTGTATAAAAATCCACAACAAAGTACAATACAATATACTGATAACAGAATTTAGCGTTTTTCCTTTTAACAATTCATAATAATCCTTTTTCAGCTTAGATGTACATTTAGATATGCGAAAACAAGTCTAAAATCTCAGACAACCTTCTAACTCGTATTACATGAATCATTTATTGTTTCTTTATTGCTAATATTTGTTATACTAAATACGACCTGTAAGAAAAATTGAGAATGTCCAGCTTATATTAATTATGTAATCGTACGACTCTTCCTAAATATATTTCACTATTTTTGAACTCTATAATTACCGATGGGGTCCATTGACCCCACCAGGTTTTTGAATCCTATTTTTCTAAATCAAAGTGCTCGTGAGTCCGTGACAATCCCTAGGTTATGTGTCCCGTGGCACAGCGATAAGTCTGAGAGCTTATAACACTAAAAATCGAATTTCGATACTCGCAGTCGGTAGAGCACAGAAAGCCCATTGTGTAATTTTGTGCTTAACAACAACAACAAAACACACCTTAGGTTGCATACCGAAACCATAACTTTACATGTGCATTTCTAGCCATCTCAGACCAATTTGTACAGCCTTCTGTATCACCTGTTTAAATAGATTGATTTCTGAAAATTGCAGAAACGCGTATACGCTAGTTTGGGCAAAAGTTACTGTAGGAAAACTTTATCCGTGTAAAAATACAAGCATCTGTTTATGATCTCACAACATTTGGCCAATGTGATCAGCGTTACTAGAAGCTGCTTAAAAATTGAAAAACTTTCCATGAACATATCTACCCAAACATTCATTCTATATTTGGCATGAAGGGATGAAATCTAAACTACACAAAAACCAGCGTGTATCACGTCACGCTTGATTTCTCGAAATAAGCGGAGTCATAAAAGCCAAAATGCACTTATCCAGATAAAATAGTTTGATTACTGTCTGCCCATTACGATTTTAGTGACGAGGGTGCAAGAGGGCCGTGAGGGTGTGTGTGTGCCGTGAAACCATATAAATGTAGTGAGTATTGATATAAAAAGCCTAAAGTAAAGACGTAGTGTGGGATCACCTAGTCTAGAAACAACTGCATAAAATTTATCATGAAAGTAAAAATATCGATTCAATTTTATACTTAAATCGTTTCTGAATTAAGATATTTTCTGTAATATGAACAACGTTTTCAATAAAAACAAACCTCTTTAATAAACGGAGACTCCAAATTAAGAAATCAACAAATATGTTTCCAGTTTTGTTGTCCATAGATTTCATTTTATAGTTTCAGTGCATAGACTAACAACAATATTAGGTTACAGTTTTGTTGCTAAGCGACATGATATAAAAGCCATTGTTGAAACGTAGTGTTACCAAAACGCACTGGCTTTTCTATATATTAGAAGTTGTTAATCTAACGGACTTATACCAATAACTACTCTATGAATGTGCCACGAATTATTTTCGTGAATGATCTTAATTTTGATTGGCTCACATAGGAATTTACCGACGTTTGACTGCATCGACTGCTTTTTGTTGGTCGAGCTTGATTTCTCAAAATTTATTTATTTCAGTTAGTTATAAAATGTGAAGTTAGGGTATATCATAAGATAGGGATGGTAGTTTGTTTGTTTGTAATTAATCACAAAGCTACACAATGGGCTATCTGTGCTCTGCCCACCACGGGTATCGAAACCAGGATTCTAGCGTTGTAAGTCCGCAAACATACCGCTGTCCCACTGGGAGGCAGGGGTGGTAGTACTTGCCCCGTCATTTTTGACGGGCTATACCCTAGTACGATATCAAAAAGTCCATCTGTACTAAACATTCGTTTTACGAAATGGCAAGAATATAGCTTATCGAGCTTATATGCAGTCAGCAAGAAACAAGCTCTAGTCAAAAGAGTTGTAAAAATTTCTACAGAACAGTAATAATAGTAATGGTCAAACATAACTATTTTTGTAGATCCTTTCAACCTTAGCAAAGCAAGTCAACTTATAAAGTTAAGCATGAAATTATTGTACATTATTTAGAGATTTAAATAAGCATCCTTTTCAGGGTGAATAGATGTTATACAATACACTAATTGTAGAAATGAATTAACAATGTTTTACATATAAAACATCAGGGAAGAATAGAAAACTGAATAGAGTCACCATTGTGGAATCACATCTAGTGAGTCTGAAACTATATGGGGAGATCTCAATAGAACTCCAAGGTAGTTGCCAGCAAGTGTAACTCAACTCCAGCTCTTGTCAAGGCCATCAAAGAGCAGTCAAAAAAAGATTAGAGGTACTGCTGATGAACAAAGTAGGTGAGTTAGTAGGCACAAACTGAACAAGAGTGCAAACTATGGAACAGTTACAAGCCTCTCCAAGCTATAAGGTAGCCTTTCAGGGTGACCATGGTGTTGCAGGTCTGTGAAGCCAATCAGGTTTCACAGATGTTCAAAAGGGAGATCTGGTCTATTTCTGGAAGTATTTCAGATAGAAAAATGTTTGGAATGGCTGATCTGAGGTGTAGGCAGTCTAATGCTTGATCTTGTGCTTGGACGATTCAATTGTGTACCTCATCTAGCATTTAGCTAGAACACAACCAGGGTTCTGAGTTGCACTGATGATTTGACTCAGTGGAAAACCAAGCAGTCCATAAAGCCAAATCTCAGAAATGGAGAGATACCAACAGTCTGGCAGCTTATACAGACAGTCTGATCACGTATGGATAAGTTCAGTGAGAAACTTTCCAGTGAGATGATGAGGCATGGCCTAGTGGTGAGGCATGTCCTCACCTCAACAGAAACAGTTTACATCACTACTAGGTTCAAAGTGGTAACTTCGAGCTAGTCACTGGATAAAATAAGAAGCCTGCAGCAGCAGCTGCGATGGCTACACCTTGGACAATCTGTTCTCTTTAGGCACTTCAACAACACGAAATTTTAGCCACGAAAAGGGTTAAACAGCCACTCACACACTCTGGCACTGAGGTTCAATCACAATGTTAATGTTAGGTTATCCAGGGTTACACTGAAATGGTCGTATATATGATAAGCAAAGTTGAAGCAACTGAGGCTAGTAGTAAGGCTAGGGTTACATTTATTTAACTTCAGCCTGAAGTAAATACGTGGTCACCAATACATTTGAGATCGTTGGTTGACGATTGTACAAACAGGTTTAGACCTAATGCAGTGAAAGCAACTTGGTAACTTGTTGATTAAATATGTCAATGTATCTGTGGGGTAAAACAACAGTGACTCACCACAACATAGATACAATGAATCAGGAACTAAGGTGGGCAATGAAGTGTCTTATTGATGATATCTCATTAACCTTCTCACTATGGACGGGTCAAAGTACACATGCCAAGACTTTTTACAGAATTACATTGAAAATTTAATTAAACTACTTTATTGTCAATATGTACAAATAAATGTGGCATCAAAACGTAGTTCACAAATCAAGTTTTAATAGCATATGAGTTTTAAGTTCTTACTTTTATAAATAGTAAAGAAATCCCCAATTATATATCGGATAAAACTCAATTTCTTTCTACCACTCTCTGTAATTCCTACTTTACTAATGATTTGTTTTACGAAAAGCTATTAAAGTAAGAGATGTTCTACAGGATTTTAACGATATTGTTTTGTAACCAATTATTAAATGGGTCAAATCTACATCTTAATAACAGATGTCTATTTCCACTTTTTTAGATAGAAAACAAATATTTGACGTGTATTGAAACTTGCTAACATAAATTATGTGCTATAGAAGATTTTGTTTGTTTGTAGTTAAGCACAAAGCTACACAGTGAGCTATCTGTGCTCTGCTCACCACAGATCTCGAAAACTGGTTTCTAGTGTTGTAAGTCCGCAGACATACCGCTGTGCATATACGTTGGAGATTAAGATTATAAACTGTCGAATGTTCAAAGATGTTCATAGTGGCGGCATCGGTTGCACCAGAATGAATTAAATGATGCTGGACGAAAATATTGCAAGGTAAAGAAAAAATAATTAAAACATTACCATTAAGCGACAAAACTTCAACATCTGAAATCAAAATAACTCGCGCAAGGAGATAATGTATTAATAAATGGGTAATTTCAACTGAAAATTATTTTTGCATTTGGACAGGAACCATGGTCAAAATGGGCAAAAACAACAACACATCTTGTTTTAGAAAGAAATAAAATTTGAAAATGATGGTGAAATTTAAGTGAATTTTTAAGTACAATTTAATAGGCTTGTCTTTCTTATTAACACTTGAATGATTGACTTTTATTCACATTTTTATAGGTCTATGACTTAAATTGTTATCGTTACAGGACCGTTCATGATACATGAGCCACAAAACAATGTAACCAAAAAATATGATCAACATTACTATTAATCCTAGTAATAACTGTTGTAGTTCACTATGTATATGACAGAAAACGAGTGATTTCACTCAATGTTTGGTCGGTTCTTTTGAACGTTGTGCGTAAAATGCAAAAAAAAATCTCAATATTATGCAAAATGTTGACCTCAATTATAGACTACTGTATAAAAAGTACTCGTTAAATTGAGAAGAAA